AAAGAAAAAGGATGAAGCCAGTCAGAGTTGAGAACGCACCAGCAGTGGACGGCTCAGAAACAACGATGTAGTATGAAGGAACAGATTCGTTACTGAAGAGCACCTGTGAATATTCTACCACTGTGTAAAAGTACATGCCCAATGTACCTTGTCTGCTCGGCCGTTACTCCACATCACATCCAGATCCCCTGCACAATGGGAGCTAGGCGTTGAAAAAGAAAATGAAAGGGCCAGGTACTTGTTAAGAGTAAAACTGTGGCTTGACCGAGAGGGGGCAGGTTGAGAAAAAAAAAGAGGGGAGGGTTATTTAGGGGAACACAAGCTTTCGGTACTGCTTGGGCCATCATCATCGGGAAACGGGGCAGGAAATCGGGAGTTTAAGGCAAGGCGCCTTCCCTCTGCTTCCATTGATTTGGAGGGGGGCTTCCTGCTCGCCTGAGAGCTCCTGCCTTTCCCCTGTTCGGGAATCGGACACCTTCCAGCACCATCATGCATCAGGGATGCGGCGGGGGCCGTCTGTCCTGACTGCATTGCATGGACTCAGAAATTGATTTGATTGTGCTGGAGATCCATCTGGGATCGAAGGTTAAAGCCGCTCTTGCTGTAGGTTGTGGCAGGTGTGTGACAAGCGGGGCCAGGGGTGGGCAGCTTCACGAGAGGCCCATCGGCCGGGGGGTGGCAGTAACAATGGACGCATCCATGCATGGAGACAGGTACAGGTACCAATCCCACATGTGCGCCACCTTCACTTCATGTGTGTGATGCGATGCATGAAATGGGTGGTCGAAGGCAGGGCCTTTCCCGCATGCACGCATGTCTATGCAAACAAGATGAGGTGGCCTGTTGCTCACTAGGCCAGAGACATGCCATACCGGACCCCTTAGACACCTTTTCTGCTCACTGACCGTCCATTCATGTACTGTCATGTATCTGCTGTATGCGTCCTTCCTTAATAAAAGTTCGTGTTATTGAGTAGGACCGACCGAGCATGCGGCAGTTGAAATTTGGTGGCTGCTTGCGTGTATGCTTTTTGTGCTTGATGTGAGTGAAGTGAGGTAGGTCAGGCAGACAGATAAGATCAATGGCCACCTCCTCTGTAGTATGAAGATTAAGTGACATGTGTTCATTGGCCACCCTCCAGACCTGACTAACCCCCAGTGCTGCATTACTACCTATGCAGAGGACGTATTCTATCGCCATCAACATTGAAGCACGCTAAGAGCTTCCCCCAGAACGAGCAAATCGGTGAGCAATGGCCGAACCCGAGAAATTTCGAGAAGGAAAAAAACAGGACCAAGAACAACCAATCGGCTGTGGCCATGCACCACCCAAGTACATGCTCAGTTGGGGGCGGCCCGTGTGTGGTTTTGATTTCTCATGTATGTGTCGTGACGGCAATATCGACAGATTCTGGGGCAGAAATGGGCTGGTAATGGATTGGACCTGGTGTCGGCGGCGATGACTTTGGGGCTTGGTGCCCAAAATGTGGTACGTACAGCAATGGATGAGACCTCCCGAGGTTGCAATGGCGATGAGGCCTCGGATTAAAGGCCAGATGAAGGTACCGCTACATGTCTGCAGGCCGTAACTGCGGTTCAGCACGGCGCCTTGCGTTGGGCCTCGTAATTGGATCCTTGATCCCTGCTCCGCTTGAAGAGGAAATCGCTAGCAGCGAACCGAAAGTACAACATAGGTACTTACTCGTACGAGCACCAAACAATGGCGACTGGCTCTAAATGCTGAGTAAGGGGAAATATGGGGTAGCAGGGCAGGCATCCCAATCGGCAAGAACGAGATGACGGGCAGGCTCCCGTCTTGAGCCCTCTACCATTGGCGAAACTCTTACATGATTGAAGGGAGTTGGGATGGATTTCTAATCCCATCTCTCGGTCCCGAATTAGACGTAGATGAATCTTCGGACATGGCACTCGTAGGTTGCTTCTCTACCCCAGACGTCAGAGCATGGGTGGTCTTATCTAAACTTGACCGCAGGCTAGGGGAAATCTCAGGGGGAAAACGACATCCAATGAATTCAAGTAGCCTTACGTTCTCTTGCTCTTGAAATTATCAGCGGACGTCAAGTTATAGTGATGGGCAATGAAACAGGAATCCATGCTTGAGGCCTGGCCACAAGACGACGGAAGTATCACGAACCCCAGACTGGAGACTTCGCGTGTAAGTTGTTGCCCGACATGACAACTGATCAGTCCATATTTTCAGTCACCTTTCCCATAAATTTCCTGGGGACTTGCATGGGTGCTTGCTTCCAAAATAGTTGATTTATTCCAGGCTTCTAACAGCTCTCCGGTTCTAGTGTAGCGCCGTCAGTGGCGGGATTTTAATGTCGTCACTCCCGTGAGAGCAATCGGAAGCCGTCCTTGCCATAATCCCCTCTTTTTCCTCAGGGTTTTGGTTCCAACATCTCTTCGCATTGCCCGCCTTATTTTCCTTGGATTTTTTTCTCTCTCTTTCTCTTAACTGTTTCCTTCTTTTGATTTTATTTTGTTAAAAAAATGTATATTTTTGAGGGTATAGGCCCGTGGGAGAACTGGGGGAGGAGACGAGGGGTAGGCGTAGGCTATCCTAATGATGGATAAACAAAGAGCTACTGAATGAAAGCCCCAGCTGGTATTGGTACTTGGGCCATCCATCAAATGACACTGGCGGCAGAATTAATATGGTTGGAAATGGTGGGCTCAAGGCTCAGTCCTTGCCTAACTGCTGAGCGTACCTATCGAGACTAGTAGATCCGCCATGGGTTGCTCGGCTGGTCGGCGATCCCCTCAGCCTCACTCTTCGATTGGCCGGACATGAGGTAGCACTGTCAAATGTGCCACGCGGAAGAGAGACCACAAGACCACGAGAGCTACTATTATTACCGCCACGGCATGTGCCCTCTAGCCTCTAGGCACCTAAATACACCAGTCTCCGGGGCTAGCACTAAGCCATCGTACTTACCTACCTAGTAGACGGTGGTCGCTTAATCCCCAGCTAGAAGATGTGTCTACAAGGTTTGATGAGCCACCTGGAAGGGAAGGAGGTCCCCTCACTGACGTAGACTCACATCAGCATCTGGGCAAACACATCTCGCTAGGAACCCGCGGATATTTGGATATTGCGTTGGCGCAGCCGGGTCTATGGCCACTCTGGGCAGGGGCGTCGCGTCGGCAGCACGAGGGAGATCACATCTCGCCTGTGCGCGCCCGTGCGATTCCATTGCGCCAGAATCTGTTGGAGATGTTCTCCAGACGTAACGAAAGGGCCCTGCCATCCTGCAGGTACCATTGCGTTGAAACTTGGGACCTGGAGGGAGCCGACCAATCACAGGAGCCGGCCCCTGCTCTTTGAAACGCACCAGATTTCTAGAACGCCGCTAAGCACCATGGCTATGGCGTGGTGTCTAATTATGTCCGATGCTCTCAGCAATCTACCTGCCCGATTGCTGTCGAAGTCTCTTCTGGAATCCGGTGCCTGGGCCTCGCTCGGCGTTAGTGATTATTTGGCGTTTTTGTCGTTCATTTATTTTGAACCAGAGGCGCCGGATCACACGCGGCACGGAAAGCAGAAGGTGCGAAATTCACGATGCAGGTTGGCTGCACGCTCGAAGGCCACTAAGCCTAATCCGCGTTACAGAAAACAGCTCAGCTATCAAAGGCTGCATGTGTCTGCGTCTGAGCTATCCACTCCGGCTCACGACAGCACCAGCTTCCATTCCGCGTGAAATGAGGGACCCGGACGTCTACGCACCGAGCCATCTGCCGGCTTTCTTGCGAGCGGCGCATAGGCTATGCAATGCTTCAATGGGGATTCAGCAACGCTTAAGGCCGCCCCGCTCCCCCAGTTCTGTTCAAGATGTGAACCAGATTCCATCCCTCTTCTACCTATAGGAGAGGTTCGCTGTGTCGCTCCGTGAACGTGGCTGGTCCCTTTCACAGGGTTGTAAACCACGTTGTCGGATTTCCGTTGACAAGGACAAGGGTGCAGGCCCAGTTCTTTTATTTACGTTGTTTTTTTCTCTCCCCTTGTAATATGGAGATGACTGGTGTGCTGAGCCCGCTAACCGTCTACACTCCCGCGGCGCGCGTCATTCTCCGCCAGTGCGCCGGTGGGCTTTTTCCTTATTGACCCAAAGTCGTCAGCAGCATCAGCTGATTTCAATGAGGTCGTGACAGTGAGTCCGGCGCTAGCTAGGACAAAAACATGCCTAGTTCACACGGGTACGCACATGCCCTGCCAGCTTGACGTTCCAGTTTCCATCTACCTACTAGTCGGATGTACATCCTGGGGTGAGAGCTTCACGCCCCCCTCGCGCAGCGTTGCGTCCGTGGATTTACGCTCGTGGGAACGAATTCCATTTACCGGAGATGCCGCCAGTCTCGCGGTTGAACCCCAGGACGGACTTCGATGCAAAACCATCTTAGCGGCCTCTGTTAGTGTCTGTCTGAGCGCCAGGTGTTGCCGGGGCGCATGAATCGCATCTGTCATCGGTCAGCACCTTTTGCGCACTGGCCAGCAATTCAAATTGTAAGGCCGGCTGCCATGATACGCACAATGCCAACAGCGGCCGAGTTGCTAATCTGCCATGTGTCTATGTTGTGAGCCGTGCTTCAAATGTCATGGCTCGCCCTGACCATCAAGTCCCTACAAACTCGTATTTCATGAATCATTGCGTGGCACGTTCGGTCCGTCGCCGTATCAGCTGGGCGGGACGCCGTTTCGAGGTTCGGTTATCAACGACATTAGAGATCCTTGAAGAGCCGTAGGTTCAGGTAGACATTGAGGTCTGTAGTAACCGGTGAGGATGGTTCTATTAACCCAAAAATAGTGTTGTACAAATAAGTTCTGCGGCACCGCAGTTCGGCCCCATAACGGTCGAATAGGGCGCTATTTTATATCCCGACACTTCTTAGGCCTTGTCTTCCGCACTTTCATGAAACCGCTTGGCTTGAAAAGGACGTAGCCCATATACATACAGCAAAATACATTGGCAGCAATTGCTCTTATCGCTTGACCCATGCAGGACTCTTGCGAGCCTTTACACGGCCATGCTTCTTCCTTTCCACGGCTCTGGGGTCCCTTGTGACGCAGCCGGCTGTTCGAGAAATGATGTCAGCATGAGCTTCTTGATTACGTGTGCAGATCAAGCCTGAATCTTGTCTCTTGAACTTACCTTTGCGCAGAGCCGGCTTCAAAGCGGGCTCGTGGACTAGCAGAGCCTTTGCAACGGCCAGAGTGAGTGCTTCAGCCTGCCCAGTGGTTCCACCTCCCCTTACAAGAGCCCAAACGTTGTATTTGTCCATCCTCTGGGTCGCTGTCAGTGCCCACAGCGCACTCTCCCGATCATGCACACGCCCAAAGATCTCATTGAGAGGCTTGCCGTTGACCAGAACCTCGCCTGTGCCTTCCACAACGAATGCTCGAGCCGTCGACTCCTTTCGCTTGCCAACACCAATAGCACGGCCAAACTTGTCGATTGTGATGGGTCGCATATTGTTTACATATGGATCAATATTTCGGGTAAGTTGGCGGAGGACAATGTCGACTTCATTGGGGCGCAGGCTCGGGTCGATCAAATTTAAGCGCTTTCCGACCCGGATCATTTTTGCAAAGTGAGAGGACTTGACGGGCTCGCCCAATTGCTGTCTAATTTGGTCTACTTTCATCCATGGGAGCGTAGGTGCCTCGTTGGCGGGCAGAGTTGGAAGGCGGTGATATTTGTTTAATAACTGGGTGAGACGAATGTAGAGGTCGTTGAAGCGAGGCTCTCTGGTGAAGTACGAAGGCGAACTCGGAACCTGTCGTGCATGATGAACACCCACAAATGGAAGTGAAATCGGCCCTGTGCTTGTTGGAGCATCGGCAGACCGTGTTGGTACGTTCGATTCGACCGTCATTTGTCGCATCCCCATTTTCGGAGCGATTCTTGGCCGTATCGCGAGAGCCTGCGGCCATTGTGGCTTCGCAAGTTGGCCATGACACCTCAGGTGCCGCAAGCCACCTGCCAGCGATGCCATGATGTTGTCGAGATCTTTTGGTGTGGTTGGTGGGCATAGGCGGGAGAGCTCGTTGTAGGTCAAAAACTTCCAATCTGACCTATCACGATGAATATCGCATCACGTGAGAGGTACTTACCAGCCTCATAGGGCCGTCAGCCACATACGCCACTTAAATTTCGCGGTTGCTGTGGCATAGATAGTGGAGCTCCGCGGGGCAATTTTCTTTAATAAAATTTGCGACACCTGTCGTGCTTTTCCCCTCCATCCTCATCACCTCACCCTCTTCCTCAACCTCTTGCATCTCTCTTCCTGCTCGGTAGGATTCAATCAAGATGGCTTTCGGAACTCTCTTCACCACTGCCGTAAGAACATCAGCTCAATCTTCTTTCTAATTTTGGCTTGGATTTGCTAACGTGCGCGTTCTCTAGGACAATGCTCGCAGCACTGCCATCAAGGCAGTTGCTAAGGCCAACAACATCGACCTGAACATTGTCAATGTTGACTTCGCCAACATTTCCGAGGAGCACCGCAAGGCCAGCCCCCTTGGCAAGATCCCCGCCTTCCTCGGCGAGGATGGCTTCGCTCTCTCTGAGGCCATTGCCGTCGCTGTCTACCGTATGTGAACATCGTCTGTTTCTTATTCTTTCCTTGCACTTCCACCCCAGTTGCGGGGTGTGAAGCTTCTATGATGACCTAGCTTTTCAAATCATACAGTTATCCCTGTCTGAAATTATCATATATTGTTGATATCGTCTAACATCTGATTTTCCTTGTTCTTTCCACTGCTACACTTTGCGCGCATCCAAAGATTCTAGTGAGTCATCTGCTGACAGCTGTCCAGTCACCTCCCAGAACGAGAAGACCACTCTCCTCGGAAAGACCAAGCAGGAGTAAGTCAAGGATGATATAATCCCTACTTGGCCGGCGAATTCTAACCACTCCTACTTCAGCTACGCCTCCATTCTCCGATGGTTGTCCTACTTCAACACCGAGGTCCTTGGCCCTCTGGGCAGCTGGTTCCGCCCTCTTGTCGGCCGTGACCCATACAACAAGAAGGCCGTTGACGATGCCTCCAAGCAGACTCTCAAGGCCTTCAAGGTTGTCGAGGATTATCTCCTCCGCCACACCTACCTCGTTGGTGACCGCATCACCCTCGCTGACCTCTTCGCCGCTGGAATCGCCAACCGTGGTTTCCAGTACCTCTTTGGCTCCGAGTGGCGCCAGGAGTTCCCCAACGTCACCCGTTGGTTCGACACCATTGTCAACCAGCCCATCTACACCGCCGTTGCCCCCAAGGTTGAGTACCTTGACAAGCCTGCCCTGACCAACGTCGCCCCCAAGAAGCCCGAGGCTCCCAAGCCTGCCAAGGCTGCTAAGCCCGCTCCTGCTCCCGCTGCCGAGGAGGAGCCCGCTGCTGCCCCCAAGGCCAAGCACCCTTGCGACCTTCTCCCCAAGTCCGCTTACGCTCTTGATGACTTCAAGCGCTACTTCTCCAACAACGAAGAGAAGGAGTCTTTCCGCTACTTCTGGGACACCGTTCCCTTCGCGGACTACTCCATCTGGCGTGTTGACTACAAGTACAATGATGAGCTTACTTTGACTTTCATGTCCAACAACCTCATCGGTGGCTTCAACGCTCGTCTGGAAGGCTCCCGCAAGCACATCTTCGGATCTGCTTCCGTTTACGGAGAGAACAACGACTCCGTCATCCAGGGTGCTTTCGTCATCCGTGGCCAGGAGTACCTCCCTGTCTTCGATGTCGCCCCTGACTACGAGAGCTACTCCTTCACCAAGCTTGACCCCACCAAGCCTGAGGACCGCGAGTTCGTTGAGGCCCAGTGGGCCTGGGACCGCCCTGTCATTGTTGACGGCAAGGAGTACAAGCACGCCGACGGCAAGGTCTTCAAATAAATGGTCATGATTTATTCGAGATGACTGGGAATGATGATGAATACCCAAGTACGAGTGAGATGCAAGGGAAAGAGGAAAACGAGTAATGATGATAACACATGACATGAAGTATCTTGTACTTCAATCCCAAACTTTTCATTTGTCGGCGGATGCAACTTGCTCCAAACTACAAAGAGGAATCTATCTAAAATTCTTCTCAAAATATACCGTTCCGTAAAATACTCGTTCTTAATCATCGCACTGTGACATGTGTCTTCCTGCTTGCATACTGCATAGCCGTGCTTCCTTACCCCGAACACCGACAGTGGCATGCTATTCCTCATTGTACCAATTTGTAGTGTTCATCTAATTGGAAAGATGTTTGCCGAATGTATCTGCTTACATCGGATTGCCAACACAGCGCGTTTAAAAAGTCATGGACCTGAGGAAGAACCTCAGCCGACTCGTTCTCTAAACCTGAGAACTCCGGAATAGTCAGGAGATTGTGAGGCTCACTCCGCCCCTTCTCGAGAGAATCGTCCACCAGAACCGTGTTAGTTTGGTCCCAGCAACTCCCAGTGGCGGCATCCGGGTGGGAGGCGATGACGGCCGTGTCAGTCCACAGCCTAGTCAGCCGTTTGTAGACCTGCACTCGGGAGTCATAATCCTCCGTGGAGAGTCCAAAGTGCTCCCTTGACCAGACGACGACGCAGCGGGCCACGTCCTCGGGGGTGAGGAGCTTCTCGACCATCTTGTGGACGTTTTGGGGGCGGGCGGAGGACCAGATGGCCAGCTGGAAGGTGTCGAGGCAGTACTCCATGAACTTCCTCGCGTGAGGCCGCGCCACGAAGTGGAAGGGGCGGCGTTTGGAGGGGCGGTAGAGGAGTGTGCCGTTTAGGTCCAGCACGACGAGGATCCGACGGGGTTGGGCGAGGGTGGACGGTGGTCCTGCCGCCTGTGCTAGGTAATCTGCCGAGGGATCTGGCACGCCTCCGGACTCTTGACTGGGCATTCTCACTGGATCTCGCTCCTCTTTTCTAATCTGGTGTTAGAGTCTGGGTAGCAAAGCGATGGAAGACATAAATGTAGTCCTACTTGGATCTGGACCAGGGCATTGAGTCTGCATTCTGTGTGGTCTTGCCATTGGCGGGAGCTTTGATCTTCTTCTTCCTCTTTATTCCCTTTGTAGTTGTTTCTTTTTTTCTTTCATGTCTATTAGACACTGGCGGTTGATAGGCGGATTTGGCAAACTCACTTTGAAGCCATCACGACTTCAGCCTGGGGTGCTTCGCTAGGATCCACGCTGGACGTCGCGACTTGTTCCTTCGCAATTGTCCTCTCAGCGACATTGAACTCCGGGCCATTTGTGGGGGGCGTCGGGTTGTGGTCACTCATCTGAGCAGACGATGAAAATCCTCGCCCTAAGTGATCACTTGGCTTGGTCTTGAATCTGGTCCAGGGTGAGGAGGTCAGTCTCACTCGCCAACATCCGTAACAGCGCGTACGTTGCGTGAGTGAAGAGCCTGCTCTTCTGGCACACTGCATATAGATCTCGGACTCTTACGTAGGCAAGGTGCCTAAATTTCTTTTGGTGGGAAATTATCTACGTAGTTCCGGCTCTCATCTGTGTTACAAGTGTTGCTGGTCGTGAAACCGAGCGACGCCCCGCTAACTGCATGACCGCCGTCGGGAGAAAAAATAAAATTCATGTAGCTAGTACAGAGTCTTCACCGATAAGCCTTATCGGACCAAAAAAAAGTCCAGCCTGCCCACTTTGAAACCATGACCTCAGCCCAGCTGAGTGGGAGGCTTTTGTCAGTATATCAAATAAGTTCCTTAACCACAAGCCTATTTCACAATGGCACCCAAGCGGAAATTAGCGTCCGGTGGCCTTCAAAGGCGCGTGCGACCGAGAAAGGAGGAGCAGTGGGAGCCTGAATTGGAATCTGAGCAGACCGACTCCGACGACGATGTTTCAGAAGAGGAAGTGCACACGACCAAGAAAAAGAAGGACGCAGTAGACTCCGAGGAAGAATCTGGGTCAGAAGAAGAGGTATGTGCTTCTTTGGGGAAATACCCCCTCCTTCTTATCACAGCCAGCTAACAAGGAAACAGTCTGGATCCGACGATGAACCTCCACCGCCCAAAGCCGACATATCCTCCATATCTTTCGGCGCGCTCGCCCGCGCCCAGGCTTCGATGCCGGCATCGGAGCGGAAAAACAGAAAACAAAAGAAGACAGAGGAACCCGAAGACGAGGATCCGTGGGAATCCAGACGCCAGGCGAAGAAGGCCGAGATCGAGAAAGTGAAGCGCTCGTCCAAGCATGCGCCCCAAGAACAGTCGTCGAAGCGCCCGGTGACTCGACGCCGTGAGGTTGTCTCGGTGGAGAACAAGCGTGTCGTTCGTGACCCGCGGTTCGACCCGGTGATTGGAGGGGCGCGCCTGAACGAGGCCAGGACGAAGAAGGCGTACGCATTCCTGGACGAGTACCGCGACAAGGAGCTGGCGGAGCTGCGGGTGCAGGCCAAGAAGACTAAAGATCCCGAGGTGAAGGAAGATCTCAAGAAACAAATAATGTCTATGGAGTCGAAGAAGAAGGCGCAGAAGAAGAAGGATGAGGAGGAGGCGCTGCTGGCCGAGCACAGGAAGAAGGAGAAGGAAATGGTCGCGCAGGGCAAGCAGCCCTTCTACTTGAAGAAGAGCGAGCAGAAGAAGCAGTTGCTGGTGAATCGCTACGCGGGCATGACCAAGGGCCAGATCGACAGGGCAATTGAGAGGAAGCGGAAGAAGGTCGCAGGCAAGGAAAAGAAGGAGCTGTACTCGCTCCCGAGAGTCACGGATCGAAATGAAAGATATTAGAATACATAGTGGAATGATAGCATTAGATACCCCTGTTTTGGGTTGGTCCCGATGCACTCTCTCTATAGCCGTGTTTTTTTTTAGTACAGGTGAACTGATGAGACATCTATCTATGTTGTACAGAGTGGTGGTTTTAATACATAATATCGTGACAAGCGAAGACAAAGGCTAGGAGGCCTGGCCGTAGCCAGACCTCGCAACACTTTGCACGAATAGTTCGCGGCATGGCACTTTGCTTCCTAGCCTTGCACAGAGAAGGAAAGCACCGCTAAGCTTTCGGTGGAGGCTGTATGTTTCTTCGGGCGGTGGCGATAATCGCTCCTGAAGCATCACAGGGATGAAGGACTTGACACGTTCCGTGATGGTCTGGTCCTTGAAGTCATACAATTCGGGCGCAGTGCCCAGGAAGGGTTCTGCGAGGGTCAGGATGGACCCCATATGAGCGTCTAACATGGTCTTGCTCTCGTGGCCGGTCAAATACCCGAGACTCTCGGACAGTTCCTTCACAGTGGCCCTATCCGAGCGAGAAGCAGCCTCTAGAAGCTGGACATACTGGCGGATGAACTCTTCGGGATACTCGCGAGACGCACCGAAGTCGAGGAGAACGAGCCGGTCTGCCTCAGCGTTGTAGAGAAAGTTGGTCCAGTTAGGATCTGTCTGCATGAACTTGAACTCTGTAATTTCCCTGAGGCAGAGGCGCATGATTTGCGTTCCAATCCAGTCACGCTGTTCCTGGGAAAAGGAGTCAATCCGCGTCACAGCAAGCCCGTCCATAAAGTCCATAGTCAGAACCTGCTTCCCAGATGCTTCGGGGTAGACATTGGGGACGAGGAAAATATCCTCTTCGCTCTGGAGGAGTTCCTTGTACCGCGCAAGGCAGCTGGCTTCACGCTCGTAGTCGCACTCCCAGCCTAGCTCTACTCTAGCGTTGTCAATCGTCTTGTTTAAATATAACCCCTTCGGCAGTAGGCTTGTTGCATTGAGAAGAATAGCAATGTTGTCTAGATCTGAGTTGATGGACTCTGCCACTCCTGGGAATTGGATCTTGACGGCAACCTTCTTACCATTGGACTTTAGTGTAGCTTTGTGCACTTGCCCAATAGACGCTGCGGCAATCGGCTTTTCCTCAAACTCGCTGAAAAGATCTCTCCATTCAGCACCCAAGTTGGCTGCCAGCACTTGGTCCCGCTGCCAGGCAGGCATGTAATCAGCCCTATCTTGAACTCGCTGGAGGACCTCCTGGAGCGGCTTGGGAAGCATCTTTGAGTCTTGGAAGCTCATGATCTGCCCGAGCTTCAGGGCAGCACCTCTCATCCGTGATAGCTTGGCAACCAGACGCTCCATGTTCTTTCCGCTGAGCAGGACAGAGCCCTCTCCGCCTCCACCAAAGGCTCTGCTCACACTCTCCGTCATCGCTCCGCCCAGCATGCCTGCAGCTAGACCTCCGTAGTTCCATATACGACCAAGCCTGCTTGACGGGACCTTGGACTCGCGAAGCTTGTAAGTGCTCTTGGGTTGAGGGGCAGCTTTCAAATCCTCTGCCAACTCAGAGATTTCCTGAGCGGAGGGGTGTGAAATGGTTGTCGCCGCAGGAGCAATGGGCGGCTGGCTTTCGACCTGTGTCTTCTGGGTTGCTGGTTCCGTTACTGGAGAGCTAGTTTCGGGTCGAGGCTGTGGCTCGACTGTTTTATCCTTCTGTTTGGGTACCTCTGGGACAACAGGCGGCGGCGGCGGCGGCGGCGGAGGAGGAGTCATCGGCCAATGGCGCATTGGATGTTCCTTGGGTCCAATGGGGTTTGTCTTCTCAGGCCTCTGCACATCCGCTGCCCGCTGCTTTCGTACAGAATCCAGGACCTGAGAGCCTCGGGAAGTCCTGAACAACACATTCATATCGACGCCCGGTGGAAGATCAGTATCTTCCTTGCCAGGCGTCTTCGGCTCAACCTTGGTATCATTTCTCTGGGTCTCGAATATCGTCGGGCGCACCGGCTGGGGTGGAGGAGGAGGAGGAGGAGGAGGTGGTGGTGGCGGCGTGGGCTGGGTGTCGCTTCGGTCTACGTTCTCCTCTGCCTTAGGAGCAACATCGTCGGCGTGAGGAGGCTCCTGTTGCTCGCGCTGGGGGTTGTTGGGAGCACCCCTTTGTCTAAAGGCCGCGGCGACGCTGGAGGTTCTGCTGTAGGCATCGATCTGGCGACTGCGAAGAGCGACATGCTTGGTTGCGACGGAGCGGGAGGCATTGAGCACGGCTGCAAGGTCGATGACTAAATCTGCAAACCTCATGAAGGGCCCGAGAGCTTCGCGAAGCCTGTCGCACCAAGAGTTTCGGCGTGGGGTGGTGTCGATCCGCAATTGGAGCTTGTTTAGAGAGCCGTGGAGTTTTTGTTCTCAATTGCCGTCGTCTTTTTTTGCTCTGCAGGGACCATCTTAGTACCGACCACTGACGTAGTACATTACCTGTACACCAGTTTTCACCTCCGAATATCACATTCTAAAGCCCTTGAAATTTTGGCATTTTCCCTCTGAAATCACTAGTGAAGTATCCATTCAGAATTGGACTGATGTAAAACTCACAATTGCCAAGATCTCTTCTTCTGATCTGGCACCTATGCTGTCGCGTGTGGTGATGGCCGCTGGGTTCGGGTCGTATTTGGCAAGTCACCAGTGCCGGGGTTCGGAGAGCTTAGAGCAAGTGGGATGACTATCAAGCTTAGGCATTCTGTACAAGATTAATAAATGACTGATTTTTATATAATTTTTAAACCGCAGTTTCATTCGATTTATCAAGATCTGGCGTAATTATGAACGTCTTATAAGTTGAGTCAATACTTCTGCGCGTAGCACCGTCCTGTTATCTATCTCGTTTCCACCGCTTCTCCATATACGCCGGTTCATGATCATAGAGGGACTGGCCGAAGCTATTGAGACACAACGTGTACTGTAAAGATCAGACTTAACATTAATGCTAGGTCGTAATGTTCAAGGTAATAAGCAATCCTTGATTGAATTCTATCTCAATGGGTATCATATTGTTGTGTCTCTCAGACCGTCTAAGCGTACAAATTATTCTAGGACCAAAAAAATCCCACACTATTTAAATCTTCCTGTCTCATTGCGCATAATCCTTATTGATGAAACTGCGCTGTCCAAACCATAATGCTACATAGAGCCCGGTTCGTGATGGCCGGTTGGGTACTGGGCACTGTACATTGCTCCCCCTCCAGTGTTATGGAGCGGAACTTTCACTCATGTTTCGGGGTTGCCCTCTTGACAGACCTGAGAAGAGATCCTTTCTGTTTCATAGGCGTAGATTGCGCAAATCTGCTCCCCGAAAACTGCGCTTTTGAGGATCCGATCTTGCTCCATAGCCTTTGCGCTGCGGGTGTAAGGCTCCCAGATACTCTCGGGCTGCTGGGAAATCTTGGCACTGGAGTATTGTCGACTTTCCCCATGAAACCATGCTGTGATGCTGCCTTGTTCGATTTCGCAATTCGCTCTACCATGCGCTCATGCAGCGTCTCCCTTTCCCTCTGTTCTTGTAGCTTGAATGGATTGTTGGAATCTCCTGGGCCCAGATTGATCACAGGGGGTTGTTCATCTGTAGGCTCTTCATCGTCCTCATCGTCCACAAACGCATAGCCATTTACTCTTGGGGTCTCGCCCCCATCGAACCCACTGTCTTGATCGTGTTGTCGCGGCCTGCCGGCGACAGCTGCACGGATTGAGGACGCTGTAGGCGAAGGCGGCCGATTCGGAACATGTGGGTCGGGCATCCTGGTGTTTGAATAAACAATAGTCCTTGGAGGTGCCCGGGATGCTGTTGCTGCTTTCTGTGCCACTGTTTCGGCTCCGTCATCAACACCATCCACAGTGAACATAAGTGTGTTTTTGGGCGCTGCGTTCCAGCTGTCTGGTCTTGCTGGGCGGTCATCTGAGTCTTTGATGGCAAGTCTATCCTTTTTGAACCCGTCATCTGTTAAGCTTCGAGTTTGTGAGAGCTTGTCTTCCACCTCTCTCTGCTTGATCATCTGCCTGGAGGGGAGTTTGTTTTCTCTCCATAGCCAAGCATACTTGTCTGCCCTCTTTTGGTTGTGTTTGTCAACGAGCTTATAGAAACTCTCGTTGTCCTCACTGGTATAAGTCTCTTGGAATTTCGTAAGACTTATGTTAGTGTCGATTTTCAGCCGAGAATCTGCGACCGTGGTTGAGGCCACAGAGCCCGGTGTGTCACCGACATATGTCGTAGGTGTCTGTCCGCCATCAAACCGCCTGGTGGATGATGGCGCTGCGTGCTTCGCTCTCCCGGGGGTCATGACCTGATGCAGCCTGCGACCGGCGCTGGATATCCAAGCTGGATCTTTTGATTCCAAGGCATCGAGGTACTCTTGTTTCGTTTCAGTCTCCAAGAGGCCAGGGAAGAAATCTCTAGCGATGATTTGAGATAGCGCCTCCGTATAGGAATCCTCATCGAGAATCTTCTTTGGGCGCTTGACCTTCTTCACCTGAGGAGGCGGGGGCATCAGAGCCATATCTGCTGATCTCTTGTGCACTAAGGCGCTTGACTGCGAAGCCTGCTTCTCCATCTTGCTGTAAGGTTAGGCAGACAGGTCTGACCAAGCCGTCAGTCGAGGAGGAGACCACATCCAGGTGACGAAGACACCGCTGTCCAGAAAATCAGTAGTGCAGGGCCAGTTTTCGGAACTTTCTATGATGGAAAGAAAAGATAAACTAGAATAAGTGAAATCTTGATGACGGTGGTTGTTGTTCAAGATCTCGAACACAGCCTACCGTGGTTTGGGTTTAAGACTAAACAGGCAAGGCGCCCGCTGACCCATGCCACATATCACGTGACCACCCCTAATCTCACAATCAAGGGGCATCAAGATGTATTCTCATTTAGCATTCATTCTTGTGTTTCACCCCTCCTATATTTTATCTCTTCTAGAAATGCTGTTACTGAGTCCCATTGATAAATTTTCATATCGCGCCCTCCTAGTTTTGTA